AGACATTTTAAAGTAAAATATGGCTCAGTACTATATGCAAACCAGGTCATAGTATTGTTGTGTATTGTGAAAATGGCAGTCATACTGGGGGGAGTTACGAAAGAACTGAAAAAATTCCAGGAGCGGTATCAAAGTACTTTTGCAGATATTTGTGATGGAATTAACTGTAGAGTATGATATGCAAGTCTTTTACTTTCAAGTAAAGTAGTGTGTTACAGTCAACACTAATTGCTGAAGAACTGGAGATGCTGTTGTGCTTATAAAGGCATCTGGTTTCAATCATTAGGAACAATTCTAGAACAGATGTCCTTTGGCTTGATGCAACTCAGCTTCTCTAAGTTCTTACATTAAAGTATTAAAGAATATAAACATGATGATGACCTGGATTGTTAAAGTTCATCTTGCAAGTATAAACTTTGTGCCTGTTGTTTCATTTTTCTGCAAGGGACAGCAGCAGCTTCTAATGCCGAACTGTCAATATCAAGTGAAAGATATGTACTCCACTTCACAGTCTCATATTACAGGCATTCCCTCCATTAGAAATAGTAAACATTAGTTGTTTTAATCAAGGGTCAGAAATCCAAATAAGCTGTAGACTGACAATGGAATAGAGATTTACATCTCATCATCATCTCTGAATAGTATGAATAGAGGTTTTGTTATTTGAATAAAAGCAAGTCAAATGTCATAAGTCGAAGAAAAAGTCAAAAGCAGAAACTTTTGTTATATTATTTCTCTTTATTGCACAAGGGTCGTATTATTTCTTCTGTACAAATTAGGAATTTGTGTAACTTCAGTCTTTTAGCTACCCATCTGGCTGAGTAGGCATATGCCAAGTTTCACCTAGAGTTTTCTTGTATTTAGGGGAAAAATATTGAACCATTTGTAGCAAATCATTTTGGTCCGCCTAGCATGCTGCATTTTCTTTTGTAAATTTCTTTTAAATTACCACTTTACTATAATTTGGACAGCTCAGGAATGTATTCTATTCATCTTTGAGTGAATATATCTATCTATATAGATATTTTAATGTCTAAAATATAAAACCTATTATTAAATTTGTATTTTTTGCTCTTTAAAGGAAATTTGGTTTTATTTATTTGTGGTAAGATTGGTCTAAATCCAGAGGCCGGGGGTGGGGATGGAGTGGGGGGAAGAGTTGAATCATCAAATCATGTACCTCTGGACTCCATGGCCAGGAGCTTTATTACTGAAATTATTCTATTTTTATCTTTTAATCAACAGAAAGACAGTTTCTGCTTTCAGATGGGTGTCTGCCAGGACTTATTGTTTAAATGGGGTTTTGTCTCTACCCCCTCAGTGTGACTATGGTGCTCCTTGACAAAATATCCATCACATTGTGTCCGAATGTCCGTCAAGAGCTTACACCGGCCCAATGTCTGATTTTTTTTCAACATAGACCACCCTGTCCTTGAATGGCTGGGTGGACTGGACATTAGCATTTGAACCACTATAAATCCATATATTTGGCATACGCTAAATAAATAAATAATGTGCTCTCACTCAGCATACAATAGAGAAATGGGGGGAATCCCTGGTTAAGAACCCCTGAAAGATAGGTGTGTGCAATGGGTACTACCAAGTCTTAACCCCAAGGTAAAAAATAAGCCAGGATACAAAGTCCATATGGATACAGCTGTTCACCTCAGTTGGTTTCAAGCCACAATCAGGTTAACAGTATACGGTTATATACTCTGCACCTCTATATTGAAAATATCATTAAAAATAAAACGTCTTAAGAAAAATTGTTCAATAAAACAAAGATTTCACATTCACATATTCTAAAATTCAGCCAGGCAAAGAAGTTATGCAGTGGACCACATCAGTTAAAGAAGTTTGAATGGTGGGGCCCAGGAAGAGACCTTCTCTGCCATTTTCCCGCCCTTTGGAACATTCTCCCCTCAGTGGTGAAACCCAACTCTCTTGGCCTTTCAGGCATGTCTGGCAACTTGCTTTGGTTAGCCCCCTGAAGCCATCCTCTGCCTTTTAATTTTTATTATTGCTTTTTAATGTAATATTTATTTGCATACTGCCAAGAGTCACTCTATGAGGTAATGGGCAGAGTATGAATGTGATATATAAATAAATACATTGTTCTGAGTTGAACTTTTACTGATGCTTTCACTTATATTTATGAATTCAATAACACAGAGCCCCTCTGTGAGGGAGATGGGTGGTTAGAAAAATAGATATGAGAAAGAAATATGACTGAAATAGCCAGGAAATCTCACTTACGCCACCTGAAGTACACAGATAAACAAATGCATGTATTCCACTTGTGGCTAGTAAGCACATTAATGTGACCTCAAAAGTGTCTTGTCTGTGATGTACTTGTCACCCTGTTTCTACCTTTTCTTATGTCAGCATTTTTTACCTAATAACTTGACATGTTCCTTCCCTATTGTCATAATAAGGATCAACCATTTTTCCTCAGTGCTTTTCTTGTGAAAGAGGTGGTAATGGTTCTTCTAGGCCTTTAAATTTTTTATCTCAAAGCAGAATTCATGCATATCTTTCAAAAGGTCAAATACTAGATACTGGCTGTGGATTGTCCCATCACGGAAAAAGTATAATCAGTGAAAAGGTGAGCAATAATTTTTCCAGATTCGTTTGACCAGAGATTGTGGATGGCTCAACACTGGAGGCTTTTAAGAAGAGATTGGACAGTCATTTGTCTGAAACAGTATAATCTCTCCTGCTTGAGCAGGGGGTTGGACTAGAAGACCACCAAGGTCCCTTCTAACTCTGTTATTCTGTTATCTTTCCTACAAATAATTCTGAAAGTGGACATTGTATTTTAAAATAGTTTTAAAAAATTTCTCTTGCAGCTAGAAATGTATGGTGAACGCTGATGATCATTAAAAGGCTTTAATAGTCAATGATGCAAGTATATAGTTTTAGGTATACTATCAATATTATTGTGTGCACTTAGGCATTCTCTAAAACTATGCTATAGTCTCCACATATTGTCAACAAATATGCCAATACCTAGATGCACAGGATCCACAGTCTATATGAATCCCTGCTTGCATAGGATACTCCATTTATTTAATGAATGTCTGTGTGATGAAAAGGCAGTTATATGAATCTTTATTTTGTGTGTGAAACTCGCTCTCATTGAAATAGGTTGGTACATATGTACTGGCATCGTTGGATGTGTAGTTTTTTTACATGGACTGCTTGTTATTCCCCAACAATGGAAACACAAGAGCAGTAGCCATTACCTCCACTTGCCATAGTTTCTCTTTGGTTAGAGCATAAATTTTGCCAGAGTGAAATAGGACATGTTACTACTGGTATCAATGGCAAGCAAGTTTCCCAAAATGTAGCATTTGGCAATAAGGTAACATGTAGCAATGGGACGTCTAATGAAGACAATATCCTCAGCGGCAAAACTGAAGGTCACACACACAGAACAATGTCTATGGAGATTCTCAATCATCCAGGTCATGGTTGTCCCAAAGGTGCTTTTTCAAGAGGCAACAGGACTTGAAGATGCTTCTTGGGTCAGAAGTGAAACGTCTTCAGGAAAAACAAAGGAAATCCAATTGCCTCTTGAATAAACACCTTTGGGACACACAGAGAACAGATCTTAACTTTTTTAAAAAAGCAAGACCAAATTGATGTTTACTGCTATTTAGTATTAGCACCATTTAAGCATCTAAACTAGATAATTTCTGCACGTATAGAATTCATCAGTGTTAACTATGCTGAAATATATACTGAAATAAGATATAACCACAAGTTACAGAAATACCCACCATTTTATCATCAATTCTAAGCTTTAAAGAAAGGTTTATCAAAGGTTAAATACAATACCACCTACAGCTTGATTGTATAATGCATATCAATCTGCCTTGAACTTGATCTTGAATGTATCAACCCTATTTTAAGTTTCCATTTACTAGTTTATGCTTTAAGAATTAAATTTCCCAGGCACAAATAACAAAACTATTTTTCTTTATTATTTTATCAAGACATGTCAACAGATATGAATTAACAGTATATTTAACATTTCAATATTAGGAAATATCCACAAATACTACTGAATATTTTAAAAAACTCCAGACTATATGTTCTCTGCTAAAACATGGTATTTGTATATAGGTGTTAACAAGCCATTTGGGTGTGTATCACAAGAAAAGGGTAGGCACAGAATGAAAGTAAATAATTTTGAGTAACTCTTAGAGGAGGCAAATAGAAAGTGGATTTGTTGTGAGAAGTAAGTTAAACTGGAAAGAAGATAGGCAAGTGAGGGGATAATATTAAAGGAATAAAAGCTGAAAATACACATACACATAAGAGAAAGGAAGAAAAGGGCAGAGTGAGATTAGAATAAAAAGGCATAGATCACAATACTTAATATTGTTCCATTTTAATGTATACTTCACATATAATGGGCACCACATCCAAAGCCAAGGAATATTTAAGTTTTATTGCTGATTTACTGACAGTACCATGATGGACAGTATTCATGGATACTACAGAAACTATTAATATTTCAAAAAGCGGATACAGCAAAATCACGAGGACTTCAATCCCATAGATACTTACTTCAGTCCCATAGATTTAAATGGCTCTATAATGACTATGCTCAAATTAAACAGTTTGGGGGGTGGGGGAAGAGCAGAGAATTTAATCCAGATAGCTTTAAAAAGATTATGAAATAAAGTTATGGGTTTGTCTACCCAAATCTTTGTAAACCTCATTAAGAATAGAAGCAACCATGATAAACATCTTGGTTTTGTTATTGCTGAGGTTTCAACCATTCTTTCAACTAAGAAAGTAGCTAAAGACTCTAGTGGGGAGTATTGGTGATGAATGGGCCATTTGGAAATTGCTGCTGTTGTAGTTTAGAAATGTAAAAGGAGAGAAACCCCCTGCATTGAACTGAAAAATTCCTGCAAGCAAGGCAGTAGAAATAATGTAAAGGAAAGCCTTCTCTATACCACAAAACATCAATATTGTGTTTTATTTTCCATAGAATTATCAGATTTAAAATGACATTCTAATGCACAGCAGCTGCAAAAAGAAGTGGCTGCAATTATGTTTTCTCATATAAAATAATTTTTGATATGCCTGGGAATTTAGGAATAAAAGGTTAGCTATGACAATACAATGATACTTTCCTAAAAATAATATTTGAGTCTCATATATAAGAAAACATATTAATTTTAAAAAGATTAGAGGTTTCAAAAATGTTAATGTGACACACACAAAGCTACTGAAAACTTCAGTTTATCTTTAAAAAGTATTTGTACAAATGTAGGTATTTGCACAAAATATAATACTATGAACTCCTATGTATCCGTACATTACAAATACTGAAATGGTTTCAGTTATTGATATCCATCAGCTAACTGCCAAATAATAACATAGTTATATTTTCATTTTGTCTAGGACAACTTTTGTAATTGTGGAATAAAGTGTAACTGTGTGAACATTCAAAGCTAAAAATTTACCCAATAAAATTACATTTAAACTTTACAATCATAATTGCCTGGATCCAAAATTGATATGCATGAATGCACCAATCATGCATGCTTTTTTAATTTGCTCACTGAAAAGACTCTTTTTGAGATAATGTGAATACTCCTTGTGTTAGTGGAAGTGCATAGAGTTGGTGGGTGTGTTTCTGAATTTCATCAAGCATTTGGTATGAAATAGATCAGATTTACTGCAATTACTTTCTTTTTTTATTCCAGCACAACACAGCATTTCTGAAAACCTACTGAAATATACTCTAGAAGAACCAGTTTCAGGAGGTGAACAATAACGGCAGCCTCTGAATATCTGGTGCATCATGACAAAAAGAGTTGAACTAAAGGGATTAACAGTAGATCATTGGGTTGAATGTTATATATCCTGCCTTTCTTCCAGGAGTTCAGGGAGGTGAACAATTCATTTCTGCCTCCAATTTTTCCCCAGCAAGAGCAAGCCTGTTCAGCAGATTGGATTTAATAGTAAGCAACTGATCCTTGAGTTTCTTGGGCCTTACGAGGCCTCAGGTAGTTAACAGTGGATTTTCTGGGAGTGGAAGTCCACAAGTCGTAAAGTTGCCAAGTTTGGGGATCCCTGTTCTAAATGTTAGAACTTAAAAAGAATACTCTTTACTCAAATAGCTTATTAAAGACCTATGCAGCACAAAAAGGAACAAAAATAAACTTCATCAAATTCAACAGTTTATAAAATGGCAAAATTACACAGCCCAAACCAAGTATTCCTATTGAAGAATGATAGAACGAGGGCAGAAAATCGATTATTTCACACTCTGGCGCTTTCTGTAAAATGCAGTACACAGTAGAGCCAGTTACATTAAGTTATTTCAGTGGAAAAACAACAGAGCCATTTGTGTGGCATGGGGGAGAAACCTGCTTTTAATTGTAACTAGAGAAGACCATATCAGCTCTGAAGATGAGTATCAAAGCAGAGCTGCCGTGTGCCCCAAATTCAGTTAAGCCAGCACATTTCTTTTCAATGTGTTTAAATTCTGCATTACACAAGTGCAGCAATTGCACATTTTAACACTATAGCACACAATGTACAATCATATCCTTTTTTCAAGAAAGGATGCTGCAGTCAATCTAAATATGACTCCCTATACATCAATTGAAAATAAATATAAAATGCTTCTATTCCAGAAGTCATGTTTCTGCATTTTGCCCTCACCAGTTATATTTTAAGGATGCATGCATACTTGTTATCAAGTCTTTGAACTTACATGTGAATAATAAGCCCTCTGCAACCAGTCAGTTCTATATCAAATGAAAGAGGATCTGCATACCCATGCAAAATGTACAATCTCTCCAATAAAATATATTCTGCAAAAGCAAGGAAGTTGGGGACAAGATAAAGAAATATTGAAAGAGGTTTTTCTTCAGGAGACATGGACAAAATGTAAGATGAACCTAACAGAAGCAATATCCTCTTTGATTATACAATAGTGAACAATGTAGAAGAGTAATTCCTGAATTAAAGTTGCTGAACATGGTTCAGATTACTGGATACCTCTAAAAGTATAATGCTTTGCAGAAGCATTTACTGTGTATCAACGTCCTACTTCTTACAACACACGGTGTTGCATAAGTAGCGAAAATGTATTCAAAGGTGCTTGGACATCTTTTTAGGCAGCATTTTATCATTATTTTTAGCTATCATCTTACTCAGTTTTATGATAAATGATCACGGGGGTATTAAAACAAAAAAAAAGTTTAGGTTTGAAATAATTTTTTTAAAAAAATAAGAGATAAAATGTTGCCCAAAGTCTAAAATCATTTTCACACAATTCAATGTTCTTTTAGAAAGTTAGATCTATAAATTAAATAGTTCTAATAGTTAAAGATACAATTTGTATCAACAGCGTAGGTACTTTCTGGTTCTACAGCATCTTCAAGTTGCAGTCATCCACCTAGCAATGATCATGTAAACTTGGGAATCATCACAGTGTGAAGCTCTTAAGGGACTTCAACTACATGAGCAGTCAATCACGATGTTTACGGTATCAGGCACTGTGAGATCTACTGTTACTCTACTTATGTAAAATTACATTTTACAAGAGCTAGAAAAACTCAAAACTTAAAACCAGAAATCTCCCATACTAATACTAGAAGAGATGACAGTGTCTACTTCTAAAGTTATGTTGTTCATGGCAAGAATAATGCAACAGGCTAGACAAACTAATTCTATACAGTATTTCACAAAAAGAATGTGCTGTTTTCATCTATAATTTCCATTACTATAGTGCAGTTAAGATGTTGCATATCCTGAACACAATGTTAAAACCTTCTCAATAAATAGCATGAAAATACACAATCTTATATACAAAAATTGCATTGAGAACACATTTTGTTTCTTTAAAAACAGTTATTTTATGAAATACCTGTGCATTAAGTAAAGGAACAAGAGATACACTTTTCAATGCCATTTCTGATTAATGGAAATGTACATTGGCTGCACAAGACTGCTGCCTAAATTGATATATTTGTAGTCAAACTTGTGACAGTCAGGAACTGGATAAGCTCAATAATTTCAGAACCTGCACATAAAGTATTTTTCATCTGTATAATAAATTAATAAAAACAGGTTTCTCTCCTACTGATTGCTTCTGCTTACACCAAAATTAACAGTAATCAACAAATAAATTAAATCCATAGCCAAATTAAAAAGTGCCATACTATAAAGTACTAATATATTGTTACCCATTTCAATGTAAAAACTGGTAACTTATACATTAAAAAAAAATCAGTGCTGTGAAACTCTTGTTTTCTATAAATATAATGATTATATACAAAGAAAATCACACAATAAAATTAAATAATTTAATTATGAAAAAATAGATCCTAATAAGCTTGACTTGAAAAAAAGTTGGCTGAGCACATAAAATCCTCTTCAGTTTTCTGCTATTTTGAAAAAAAAATGCTTTGCACTTGAAAGATAACCCAGTAATTTAATAAATACGTAACAAATATTAAAAAGTGCTGCATATAAAACCCACATTCACTAGGGATTCTTACTTGAGACATCAGAGTTGTAATATATTCAGCTGGAGAGACATTCCAGCCATGATTTTTTTAAAAAATGAGTATTTAAAATAAATCCTGTTACTTCTAGTGTGTGGGGTTGTACATACAGGTTCCATGGCACAGTATTTCACATATATGGATTACTATATAACCTCCTTGCTGAGAAGGAGATCACAAATGCTATTGTAGCAAACCTCCCTCAGCGATACAGCTGAAACTGAACTAATAGACACCATAAAGATGCATCATCAATATCATGTCATCAATAACCTAGCTGAGACTTCTCCACTAAAATGGCTGCGGCAAGCTGCTGAGCATCTGCCATGTGAGGATTCCTTTTCATAACAATCCTCACCAGATCAGGCGGGAAAATGTTGCACAGGTTGATGTAGACTTTCTCTCGACTGTCTTGGTACCTTGGAAGGTCTTGAGGCATTCCACAGTAAGGTATCTGCCAAGGCTGATCAGGTTGCTCAGGTAAGCTTTGGAAAGGAAACTGCTCATAACATGGTGGGCTGGGATTGCTAGGTAAAGAGTAAGTTTGACGATAGCCATATGTATCCATCCCATAGATTGGCCTATCCCAACTACCGAGTCCATCTTGAGCGGAGTATGTTTTCCTTTTTCTCAATGGAGAATTATCATACAAACGTGAGTCAGATACACTGTCCAGTCTGGTGGATGCAAGAGCTCTCCCCAGAGGTATGCTTTTTGAATGCGGAGAACTCTGAGAAGCAGGGTAGTCAATAGGACAAGTAGAATGGCTTCCCATGTTTGGATGCTGAAGGTGCACGGCCATGTATGGAGCTGGAGGCTTCGGATGATGCTTTGGTTCTTCATGACTATAACTCTGCACTCTGGTTAGTGTATCATGGTAACTCTGTAAGAAGGACTGTGAGTTTAGATGGCTATGGAGATGCAGATGTTGACATTTTAGATTCTCTTCCAGCTGAGGGTCTGGAGAACTCACATAGGATCGATCGTTGTAGCCCATGTAGGAATCGCTACTGCCGCAACTCATACTCCCTTCACTACTACAATCAGAAGCCACAGAACTAATTTTGTAGTCGGTGTCCAAAGAGAAACGTCTTTCAGGACTTCGGGGACCAGAGATACTGAGGTTTGAATATGCACTGAGCATAGAGTAATAACCTACATCCACAGGGGAATCACATTTGGGATACTGCTCATAAGGCATTGGCGTTCCATGATTTTTGGTTGTCATTGTAACTGGAGAATATGGTCCCTGTGGTCTTTGATCCTGAGGTGGGAAATGAACTCCAGGTGGAAGGCCATTGGTTAAAGGTGCAGTACTTTGGGGTTTTGCAGCAGCAGCAGAACTTGGTATACTAACTAAAGAAGGTACAGACCTGGTTCCCAATTTATTTTTGGTGGGAAGCTTTTCTTCCAAGTCTTGGTAGACTTGAGTCCTTATGCTAGGATCCGATTGCCTCTTTGGAGTAGTTCGCTTGAGATCTGTAGTGTTATCTGCCTTAGTACTACAAGGAACACTGTTGCTTTTCACCAGTACTCCTTCACCAGCAGCTTTGGCAGCTGTGTTCCTAGACATGGCACGAAGTTCATCAGCTACTGACCTCTGAGGTTGATTTCCTCTTTCTGGGTGGTAATATTTGCATTTATGTCCATAAGTGCATTTCTTCCCTATATGAATTTATAATTGAAGATGTAAGCATAATATATAAATAATAATATAAATAATATAATAATATAACATAATTAATAAATAATAAATAATATAATTCTTCAGCAATATTAAAAAAGTAATATACATACTTATTCAACAAGGACTGTTAACTATTATGCAATGAAATTAAGTAAATTACCAGTAATTGGACAGTGAGTTTGCATAACACCTTAACCCAGGGCTATCAAACTCCCAGCCCACGGGCCGGATGCGTCATGTGCTGACCACGCCCACGCCCAGTTTAGCGAAGGGGGAAAAAGTCCTGTGATGCCGCCGTGACGATGCGAGTTTGATGCCCCTGTCTTAACCTATTCTGTGATTAGCCCTGGCTTATCATACTGTTTGAATATAGACCAAGATTATACAATTGGGAACAACCATAGAGAAACCAAGATTATTTACCTAAACATTTGTCTGCTGTGTTATCCAAAGTTTAACTGGAGGGGGAGAGGTTGATAGAGAAGATAGGGAAGTCTCATTTGTGGGATCTCTGCTGTTCTAGATCTTTTTTCCCCATTCACTACTTAGGAGGGATGAAATGAGGACACAAAGGGTTTCCTCATTAAACTTCTTATATAATGAAAATTTCAACATAGATACATTTCACTTCATTCATGGAGAGACAAATAAACAACCAAGCTTCATTTTTAGAAACACATTTAATGTTTAATTAAATAATATTACCATATGGACAGGGTTGCTTCTTATGTTCTGGTACAACAGGTTTCTTCCTCAGAAAGTTCTCCAGACTTGGGCCATGTCGGCCGAGAGGATCGTCTGGAGGCATGAATCTAAATAATAATAAAATAATGAAAGGAACAATGCATTTGCTGTGCCATATTTCAGATCTATTTTAAATCTGCTTCTACAAAAGCCTAGTAAATCAAATTTACCTTTTTGAGCTACGATAATTTAAATGCAACTGCCTATGAGATGCTAAGAAAGTAAATAATGAAAACAATGTATTTGCATGTAATGCAGATAGTGGCCTGATTTATACACCAATCTACTCAATTTGCATTGCAGATAAATGGGAGTTCTAACATCCATATTTCCATTCATTTAAGATAATATCCAGCACAGCTGTTCGATAAGGATATCTTTACATACATCTTTATGACCATTCATTTAACAACCAAAGTTACAATGGTGCTGAATAAAGTGATTTATGACCAGTCTGTGCACTTATGATCCTCACAATGTCCCTCAGGTCACGTTATCAAAATTTGGGTACATGGCAACAGGCATGTTTCTGATGCAGCATCCTGGAGTCATATGATCAACATTTTCAACCTTCCTACAGGAGAATTCCAATAAGCAAAGACAATGGGGGAAAGTTGGATTCACTTAATGACGATGGTGATTCAGTTAATCACTGCAGCAATGAAAGTTGGGCATGATTCACTTAATGACTGTATTGCTTAGCAATGGAAGTTCTAGTCCCATTTGTGATCATAAGTAGAGGACTACTGAACCGAAACACAATTTTCTGCGTGCTTGTACACACACATTATGTACATAGATATATGTATTGTAGGTAGTATAAAATCTATCATTCCAAAAACAAAACATCCTGGAGAACTCTGGAATCTTCTGTTTCTCCTCAGGGTCTAAACAATGACTGGTTTAAACAAAATGACTGGTTCAAATGAAGTTTAAATAAGGGTTTAAGTAAGAATGGGAGATAGCATAATGAGAATAAGTCAACTGGTCACAATGAATTCAGTGTCCTCACTATTCAGGAACACAGATTGGGGACAATGAATGTAAATGTGAAAGAAAGTTCATAGTCACCTTTCTCAACTGCAGAGAAAACTTTAAGAATACTTAATTATCACTGATTGGGAAGTGTTTCTAATTCTTCCCTCATCATATCACCAAGGTGTTTATGTGAGCACAAACATTACTTTCCATATGACAAGGCTATGTCTTTTCAACTGCTATGGAGCCAATAAGCTAAATATCAAAGGAAGAATTTCACAAAAAGATTTTGGATCAGAAACAGAGCAATTCAGAAACACTTGTCCTAACTAAGTTTAAAACTACAATATCTGAAAAACTTTTTTTAGTTGTATTTGGGCTTCCCCCAAGTTGAAGCCCATTCTTGTCCTAATGATACATATTTAATCATCAAATTCAGCTGACATATATAAATCTAGGCACAGTGTATCATCATGAATCAATATTAGGAATGTATAGTCTATTGCAAATCAGGGTAATCAGCTGTTTAAAAATATCTACCTAGTTTTCCAACAGAACACAAATAGCAACAATTTGTGGGCTGGAGTATTTATCCATAAGACACTGACTTTATGCCTGATTTTAGTTATTTCTGGAGATTTGGAGGGGGAAGTTATTTCAACTCATATACCAGATACTGGTTTGCACATAGTAGCATAGAATCAAACTGTCTGTCTCAAAACAGGAAAAGAAAAATATATAACAAGTACTTCATGGGATTCCTAGGACATGGATTTTATTTCAAAATTACTCTGTCCAGAGATAGCAAAGATCTGGCCATCAGAGGAGCACAGAACCACATGAAAGACTGAAGTAATTGATAAAATGAGCATATCCCAAATCTTGTTGAGAGCCATTTTTTTTAGACATAGACAATTAAAAATTATAACTTACTTGTCATTGACAAATGAATACATCAGGAGGCGCTCATCAATAAATTTCTTCCATTCTGGCTTTTCATTAGCTAGATCCCTGTAGTTATCATTAGATACAATTATGCCATCTGACTCAAAAGCCAACTTCACTATGAATCTGTCGTCATAGCATACCACCCTTCTCCCTTGAACTCGCCGTGATGGGGTGAACACCAGGATTTTCTCTTTTTCTAATTTACGCAATATTTCTTGATCTAGAATATTGAAATTGAAACAGGAAACACAAAGCAGAACACTGAAATTCACTTAATTTCAGCTTACCTAGCTCTACCCTCTTAAATCTTTAAAACACACACGTGCACAAATGCACGTACCTACCTGCTTACTTGTTTGCCTGCCTACAACTTACACACACACACACATACACACAGAATGACAGATTCAGATGACTTGGCTTAATAAAAGCAAATGTTATTCTAACAGAAGAAGATAGTTACAATTCAGCAACACAAAAAAAATGTAAGCTGCCTTTACTCATGACCTCAGCAATTGTGCTTAGAATCAGATGTTACAACATTTAATTCCAATAATCTGCAGTTAAGATCTGTACTAAATTAAAAGAATGGAATATTATGTTTTCTATACGTTAAATATATGTTTGGTTATTAAACACATAGTTATGCTATATTACATTTCCAATATCTGTAAACATTATAATTTGAGCAGTTTGTCCTAAAGGTATATCCAACCGAAGGCATAGTAAAAGGCAAATTCTTGATCAGCCCTTAGAAACCAAGACTGGAAAAAAAAAGTTTCCAATATATTGTAAACTATTTGAATATTAACTGATATTACAGACTTATAGCCTCATAAGTCAATTTGAGATGATGCAAGCTGAAATACATTCACAGTTACTAGTTCATGGTTTAGAAAAAGGGGCTTTCTTAATAATGAAATAGTCGCTGATAGGTTTTGGAATCTACAGAAACATACTCAAATATTTATTTTTGTCCAAAACTGTAACAGCTTTTATAACATTTAATTATATTTCACATTTATTTGAGAATACAAATCTTTCCCCAGTCGGTTACAAGCAACATCTCAATATATTTATGACATACAATAACACAAATTAAGTCATCAAGCCACATACTTTAATCAAATATTGTCTAGCTAAACGTTTTTCCTGCTCAGAATATTAATAGATGGGTGACAAGTTACAGAGTAAGCATCAGCTCTGAATCCAATTTTTTCATTTAATACAAGATTAACCTCTAAGAGACCCTTTCATTTATAAAACTTCAATAAAAAGTTAGGGCAATAGATCTGATATGTAGTAACAAATCTTAGATCAAACGTCTCTAAGACATAGGTGTTATTAATATATGAAAATAAGGTATCAAGCAATAAAAGATATTGAATGCAGACATTCAAAATAATTAATATGATCACAGGCATCCTATGGGCAAATGATGAAATATTTCATACAGGTAAAACTTGCTTAAAGACTGCCTTGATTAGCCACCATTTTTCATCAATTTAACCCAATGAAAACCTTTTCAATTTTCCCCTTCTTCTTAATCAATGCACGTTCCTTCATATTTCTTTTGGGATTCAATTCTTACTCATTCTTTCTTTATGGCTAAACCACTTTTCCATCTGTTGCTCACTTTTGTATTCATATTCAACATCCATTTTTTTATTTCCTTGTTTTATTATACATTATTAAGTGCTCCAGTCACATTACACTCAATTTATTTCTATATCTCTCCTGACATACATACCCAGTTCTCAGTCCCATATCACATTCCTTCCTCACAACAGAACACATACTATCCACTACATATTATTTAGAGAGGCATCAGGAATTTGCAAATTCTGATTTAAATTGATCTAAAAACAGCACTTCAGAGTATAAATTGTAATACAAGCACCTGCGGGGTTTCCATTTTTCATATATTGAAATGCAACTGCATCAACATGTATTAAATATATGCATTTTGAGAACTAATATATTATGCTAAATGTGTATTTTAGGTGCATCCAAAAGTGCTTAGACTTATGCATGAAAATGAAATAGTACTGAAGTGAGCACCAAAGTACCTGGAGACAAGACAAGAAATAACAAGTAGAATATGATTAAACAGAGATAAATGTAGAACTAAAGAGAAATTTCCTGACAGTGAGAACAATTAATCAATGGAATGACTTGAATTCAGAAATTGTGAGTGTTTGGTTACTGGAAGTTTTCAAGAAGAGATTGGACGACTGGCTTCCGGTTTGAGCTTCTTCGGCGACAGACCGAAGCCTCGTCTCTGTGAGGCTTCGATCCGTGCTCGCCGCTGGAGCACCCTGAGCCGGCTGGTTTCGGGGCTAAGCCACCCCGTAGAGGTGGTGAAGAAGGGGGAGACTGCCTGCAGGGTTGAGGAGAGCCACATCTCTCCTCCCCAGCTGGCCATTACTCCCTTTCCCGAAGGCGGTTGTAGCGGTGGTCAGAAATGGCCACCACAAAGAAGAACTCGACCGGAAAAGAATGTGCAGGAGGAAGATAAGAAGAGAAAGTTTTGGTTGACCGGATCAAACAGCAAAAGCAACAAATAAGGTACCCTGGAATTTAAATTTAATAACATTGTTCCCAAAGAAGATTTTGAAGCTGCGAAGGAGAGAGAGAAGGGAAAGGATTAGGTTTTTTTTTCTTCCCTTCCTTATACTGACAGCTAAGAGACTTAAGCAAGAAATTGAAAAAAATCCACTTTGACATTAATAGGCATCTAAGCTGAAAATAAAAGTCAAAGGGATAATAAAGATTTCTGGATATTTAAAAGTTTTTAAAAGCAGGAAAGGAGAAAAAAAAAAGAATAAAAGGGCAGGATCTGGAAAAATGGAGGAGACTGCCTGGAACTAAGGAATGGAACTGTAACTAAAAGGAACTTACAGTGAAATTTCAACAAGATTCCTCAAAGATACATTTTAATTGAAACTTGGTAACAAAATAATAGAACCCCAGGAAGAGAAAGTGGAAAAAAGAAGCAGAAAGAAACAGCCTTGGATTATTTGGATTACTTGGTGATTTTTGGTTTTTGCATCTGGATGACTAAAATTAACCGGGTGGTTGTTTAAAAGTCTTTAAAATGGTATCACTCTTAGAAGAACTGAAAATGGAACTTAAAAAATAGAAAGAAGATGTACAAGAAGCGAGAGGTTCTTTTGGCTTCGTATTTCAATTCTTAGAAATGGAGATCTGGAACTATGAGAAACAACAAGAAACGCTTGCAGAACAAGAAGATTGGGACAAAGAAGAACCCATCTTTAATGATCAAATAATTTTAAGTGGGGGGGGGGGAGAAAAGGAGGGAAAGAGAGTGAAAGGTTTAAGACTAGAAAAAACAACCAAAAAGAATAATAATAATTTGAAAGATAAGTATAATATTAGAAAGCAACAGAAGAGGGGATTACAGATGAGAGAGTTAGAAGTAGAGAGACGAGGGGGTAAAAAGGGGAGGGGGAAGAAGAGGGGGAAGAAGGCAAGGAAAAGAAGTTATAAAAGACAGAAACAAGAAATGGAGAAACAGGGAAAAGATATAAGGATTGTAACCATAAGCTTGTTTAGAGATAATGGGTGAAAATTTAATTGCAAAAGGGATTCTGCAAAGGTACATAAGATAGCATTGTTATATTATAAACAGAAATAATTTTAGAAAATATGATTAAAATGATGGATAAAATATTTACTGTAATGTAGTTGAATGTTTGGTAATAAATAAATGAATTAAAATGATTGAGAGAATTAAATGGGAACATTTTTAATTATTAGTAATGATTTATAAAAGTATAAGTGAGAAATATGGAAAAAAAGAATTAACTATGGAAAGTTTATAAGTGTTCCCAAGGAAGTATGATATTTAACTGAAAAGAAATGTTAAAGATGTTAAGATTTTAATGAATATTAATGATAGAATTGAATTGGAATGGAATGTGTGTTTTATTTACATATAATATAATTTTTTCTTTTTAAGAATATAGTGTGTATTTTAAGAATGTACCAAGCAGAATTCGATTGGAAGTTATGTATTATATTGAATGCTATAATCTTAAAGGTAGACATTGAAGCTTAAATAAGAGTTTGAATTGATAAAATTAAAAGATATAAAGGTGTCGTACTCCAGTTGGTAACTACAGGGAAAAAATTGTTTAATAAGAAAAGATAATAATGAAATTGAAACAGGACAAACAAAAGTATAAATATAATGATTTGATTGAGATGAGATAATTAAAATAAAGTTGAGAAAATTAAAAGAGGGGAAAAACTATGAAGAAAATATAAAACGGTAATAAGATATGGAATAGAATATAAAAATGAGCATGAAATTGAGTTTGGTGTCTGTATGAAGAAGTGATACCCTGGGACCATGCTATTTTCAAAAAAGATGTTTTATTTGTATTTTGTTTTTGTGAAAACCCAAATAAAACTTTCAAAAAAAAAAAAAAAAAGAAGAAGAGATTGGACAACCATTTGTCTAGAATGGTATAAGGTCTCTTGCTTGAGCAGGAGGTTGGATTAGAAGATCTCTTATACAGCCCTGTTATTCCATGTTCTAAAATATTTTGATTAAATATACCTGTAATGAGTGCATCTGGTCGAGACTGTTCTTTTCTCCATGCTGGTACAAACACTGTGACATCTTTGTGTCCTCTTTCCAAAAACCAGTCCACGGCCAGTTTTATCCCACGACAAGAGAAGACTTCTTTGTTTCCATGGCTGAAACAGATGTCCTAAAATTACTAATCTACATTACTGTAACTACCACTCTTTCATATATGTATGAAAGGAATATACTTGCATTTTGCCCTCATGAGCACAAAGCACTCCAAAAGTAATTAACAAAAGCTAAGTGTGGCATTTAAAAACTCTCATAAAATAATAAATTGCCTATATATAAGAAGCTTAATTTAGCAACTCAACTTTTCAATTAAAAATGCCTATAAAAATAGAAAATATTTTTATATATAAATTACTATTTGACATTACTTTGACAAGTGTTCCTCCAAATCAGTTATGTTTAAGTATTAAGAGTACATTTCACACATTTCAATATTTTTTGACCAATATGGGTAAGTATTTAATTTCAGTTCAATTTATGTGCAACACTTCTCTTGATAGCTAGATCAAAATAATAAGCTACTTAGCAAAAAGTAAAATATGGCAGGCAAATAAATCAAAACCACATGACTTTGATGTTTGAAAACAAAACACATTTATCTCTCATATAAAAACTGGACCATAACTATTTATTTCATAACAATTAATAGCATTTCAAACAAGAGCTTCCAACAAAGTATAGTTATGATTATAACTGTTGCATAAAGGACAGAAGTACAAGGGTTTCAGTTTATCATTCATGGCTGAAATATACCTAAAAAAAACAGAGAAAGTAACATGGTGCGGAGAAAATACATATAACTGCTCCTTGGTTTATTTTCTAAATAGCCAGCTCTTTTTAATCTGTAATTTTCTTACCCATAGTTGTATAAAATAATTCTTAACTTTATAGTTGGATATTTATCAACACTCTCATACTACAGGAACTTGGAAAAAATGACAAAAGATAGAAGAGTTGTTCCAAGTACATTCAATATTACTTCCATTCGTCATGAAGAATCAGATTTTCAGAGTTATTTCATTAGCTGCCATTAATCAGCAACTGCACTGCTTAGAGAAGAGGGTCAGAAGGGGAATTTCAACACAACTGAAACCAAAGACTAAAACTCACTGCACCTTGCTTTTTATTGATGACAACTCCAACAAGGTTATTATTATATGTTCAAAACTGGGAAGGCTTGACACTACCGACAACAGAAGAATCTTTCCAAAACAGGTACTTTGTGAAGAAAAAAGATATTTCAGTTTTGGTTACACCATACCACCAAAGTGTTACCACTGTAAATTCAAAAAGGAAAACTGCAAAGTATCCTGGGAACAATGTCCCAACAGTGTCCTTGAGCTCTAAAAACAAACATTCCCAAGTAACAACTGGTTGTAAGATTACAAAAAAGTTGGAAGCAGATTTAATTGACTCCTTTGCAGCTTTACCAGGAGGTGAGCAGAATGAAAGAGAAATTGATATGTACAATGCAAACCATACAAATTGCATTGAATCATTGACCAAATTAGTTTTGCCCACCTCTACAACTGGATGCAAACACTGTGGTATTTTAACCCTCCTTCTTATATATTTGAACTCAATAGAGAGCATACAACAAAATAGAAAAGAAAAAGGAATAGTTCACTTAGGTTCAAGTTTTGAAGAGCACCAGTCTTCAGTAACTGGACTTGATTATACTGCATATATTTCTAATGTCTATACTGGATATGTATTAAAATCTGAAGTTCAGGATATGAATGATAGGCATCCTAATTTACAATTGCTATCCTCCAATTTTTCAACAATCTTGACCTTGGTTCAAGAGCAAGCTACTATCATCCCAAGGATTGAAATATTCAATAAACTTGATAAGCTGCTCACCTCTGCATTTAGTGGTTGCACTGCAGGCTGCTTTAATTGTTAGTGTTTTATTCACATTTTCTGCACTTAGTATCTCAATTACAGATACAGATAATTCCTTAATTTAGGAATTAATAAACTCAGGAAGAGTGTAAAATAATGAATCCCCTTCCCTTATAATTTGATTGATTTTGAAATGTTAGTACTTGAACTGCCAAGTTAAATGATTTTGCCTTTCCAAATTAATGGATATATTATTTTTTCATAGGAGACATGGAATAATGAAGAAACCCCCCCTTGTTTATAGGAACACAAATCATTACCTCTATATGCTCTCCCAGGAAATGAAGAAAGATTGTATGGGTATTTGTTTCTTTAGCATTAAAAATATTAGAATTCTCCCCTTTGGAAATATGCAATGTCAGTATTATTACATTTTAATAACTTTGTTATTAATTCATGTATATACAGTACATTCCCTTATGCACTCATTCATTGATTAATGAAGCTGCATATAGATTTTAAAAAATCATTCATATCATTTCCATGGGCTGTAGCCAATTGCTCATATGATAGTATCAGGGGACTGTAATGTAAGCATTAGATTTAATAAGCATATGAAATTTCATAGCTCCCCCCCCCCCTGATTTTATAACATTGCATCCCCTACCACTGCATCAGTTGGAAGGCCATATTGCAAGCCTACAAAGACTACTATGCAATATTTGAACAGTTTAGACTGAACAACACATTGGATACAAGTTAGCCAGCAGTGTATACACATTTGGCTGGTACACAGCCCTCCATGAAATAATAGGTTGCATTATCAAGGATCCTGGTCTCACATCTGCTAAAATGTACAATTGTTGTATATCCTGATAATGATAACTTTCCAGCTGTTCTCCATTTAAGAATATCAGGGAATATAACACACTTGGGCATTCGTGCTGCTCGTAAAATGGATTCTGAAATAGGTTCAATTTGGCTTAAATGGCCATTTCACAATAGGACCATTTGGTGAAAGGCCTACTGAGCTCTAAAGAAGCTGCACAGATAGATACATGCTACTATTATGTAAGATGTGGATGGATCTATTCTAGCAAATTATAATAAATTACTGCTACTGGTAATTGGTAAAAAAAACAGTCTTCTATGTTAGTGGTTTGATTCCCCCTTATTTCTTCTGACAAATTTCTCAGCAAATGGAAAGGCTAGGTCTCACATAAGTTGAACCATTTTGATAATCTTCTGGAGTTATCCTAGGTTATGATCAAGATAAAACAGAGAATAATAGATATAGAAAATCAGGAAGCTCAGTCCAGTGTGCCAACAGATATATCTGAGATGTTCAATCCATTAACTTAAGCCTAGCTAGCTAGAATAGAATAATAGAGTTGGAAGGGACCTTCGAGGTCTTCTAGTCCAACCCTCTGCTTAGGCAGGAAACCCTATACCAAGGGTCTTCAAACTTGGCAAGTTTAAGACTTGTGGACTTCAACTCCCAGAATTCCTCCTCCAGTCATGTTAGCTCAGGAATTCTGGGAATTGAAGTCCACAAGTCTTAAACTTGCCCAGTTTGAAGACCCCTGCCCTATACCATTTTAGACAAATGGTTTTCCAATCTCTTCTAAAAAACTTCCATTGTCGGAGCATTTACAATTTCTGGAAGCAAGTTGTTCCATTGATTAATTGTTCAGTCAGGATATTTCTCCTTAGTTCTAGATTGCTTGTCTCCTTGATGAGTTTCCACCCATTGCTCCTTGTCCTGCCCTCAGGTGCTTTGGAGAATAGCTTGATTCCCTCTTCTTTGTGGCACCCCTGAGATATTGGAACGCTGCTATCATGTCACCCTACATGATAGCTAAGCTCCAATATCTCAGCTAGGATAGGATATATTGGCACGATTTAATGTTTTGCCTACCCAGTTGTCTTGATAAAAAGAAAATTCTGTAATGAACAGCTTTCTCCATGTGGAAGTGGTCACATTGAAACCACTGCTCACTTTCTTCTATACCAGTGTTTCTTAAAACTTTGTTCCCTCAGGATTCCTTTCCACTATGAAAAATTATGGAGGACCCCAAAAGAACTTTTGTTTGTATATGTGTAAGTCCTTAACTTGAAATCATTCCAAGTTACAATGGCACTGAAAAAAGTGACTTACAACCAATCCACACATTACCATCACAGCATTTGCACAGTCATATGATCAAAATTTGGATGCTTGGCAACCAACATCTATTTAGGATGGCTGTACCAGTGGTGGGATTCAAACATTTTTACTACCCGTTCTGTGGGTGTGGCTTGGTGGGTGTGGCAGGGGAAGGATACTGTAAAATCCCCATTCCCTCCCCACTCCTGGGGGAATGTTACTGCAAAATCTCCATTCCCTCCCCACCCCACTAACCTGATTTCCAGCTCCGTTCTCTTGTGCAGGGTAACCAAAGAAGACCCAGCCAATCAGCTGCGACTCGGGAGGCAGAGAATAGATGGGGGCGGGGCCAGTCAGAGGTGGCATTTGCGGGTTCTCCAAACGACTCAAAATTTCCTCTACCGGTTCTCCAGAACTGGTCAGAACCTACTAAATACCACCTCAGGGTTGTACCATCCTAAGGGTCATGTAGTCACCATTTGCAATCTTCGCAGCCAGCTACCAACAAGCAAAGTCAATGGGGAAATCTGAATTTGCTTAAGAACGGCATCATTCACTTAATAAACATGGCCAAAAAAAAGGTCATAAAATCAGGTGCAATTTTCTTAACGTCCTTGCTTAGCAATGGAAATTCTGGCTCCAATACTGACCATATGCTAAGGACTACATGTTGACCATATTTATTGATATTTACCAAATTAACAATTAAAGTTGATGCATTCGCTGTGAGTTCTCCTGTTCGACGGGATTTTCATACTGTGTTACATTTCAAAATAGGCTTCCGAATAGTTTTAATTTTGAGAATTCCTGAGGCAGCCTTGGGGAATCCTCAGGAATCCAAGGACCACACGAGTCTGTTCTATGCTACTTCTTTTATCAGGATATTTGGTTCCAGTTCTTAATTTAACACCCATAACAGCAAATTATCCAGGCGATCAAAATCTATTTTATCTCTGTTTATTGTCTGCCAGTATTGATACAGTCTATTATATTTAGAAGAGTATAGAACCATAGTATTTTATATCTATTATTTTATTATTCTGAATTTTACTTTATTAGTTGGTTGTAATTGTTGCAAAGTCGTCTATTGTTAGTATTTTTAATATA